GCCCAGGGCTCCCACCCTAGGCTGGCCCATTTACACCGGGGCTATACTCTCCCTAACCATGGCCTCACTAACCAAAGCAAACCCACTGCCATCGAGTCAATTCCAACTTAGAGTGACTCTGCAGGACCCGGTCCAACTGCCCCATCGGGATGGGTTTCCAAGGCGGTCATCTTTGCCAAAACAGAGGGTCACATCTTTCTCCCGAAGGCCCCCTGGGGGCTGGGTTAGCAGCTGCAGTTTAGGCACCGTCCCACCAGGGCACCTGTGGCTTCGCTCATGCCCCTCTTTCTGATTGGCAGGAAGAGGAGGCGCATGGAGGTTCACAAAGGTCAGGCGGAGGTAGCTGGTTCTGTCCCCTACTGGCCCTGAAGCGGGGTCTAAGGCAAATGCTCTCTGTACTGATTCAGTGACTAAGCACCCCTCCTCACCCCCTTTGCACGTTTCACCACCTTTCTGAGTGTCCAGAACTTCTTCTCTGGGAGGCACATGGCTCATCCTCCTGTTCCAGGATGGGAGTCTCCACAGTCAGTACCCGGGCCAGTGGGGGAGCCGGCCCAGCACCCACTGAGCACAGTGAAGCCAGTGGAAGCCTGTGTGTGGCAGTTGAGGAGGTCTGGAAATAGTTATCATAGGTGGCTTGACTGCCATTGAAAAGTGGCTGCCAGATCCCAGATACGTTTCAACCAATCTGATGACAGACAAACCGACCAAAAAAAAACCCCCCAAAGCCAAGCTAGCATCTTCCTTCTCTTGAGGAAATCTCTCTGTGGAACGAAATGCCAATCAGATGGTGCCTGGAGAGCTCAGAGCGCCTGGGCAGCAGCTCAGGGCCTGGGGCCTGGCAGGGGTCTCTGTGTCCGCCCAGGACCTACGGTCATGGAGGCTGCGCCATGGGGCCCACAGGGGGCCCTCTTCTCGACAGTTCTGGTGCTCTCAGCACCCACCCTCACCCTCTCAAAAGTTCTCCGTGCACGATCCCGTTACTACAGAGGAAAGAGGAGAAAGGTTGATTCCGGTTGGCTCTCAGAGGGGAGCTGGGCTCCGGGGTCTTCTCGGGGGCTGCTTTTCAGGAGTACATCACCAGGCCTTCTTTCAAGGGGCCCCTGAAAGGCCTCAACCCCCACCCCTCCCATTAGCAGGTGAGGCCATTCACCACTATACCACGCAGGTATCAATGAACCATCCAAACCCAAACAGAAACAAACTCTGCTATCCAGCGGATCACCTCGCCTGGCGGCCCTATGGGACAGGGTAGGACCGTCCCTGGGACGGTACCAGGTTAAGGGAGCAAGCAGAAAGCCCCAGGGGATCTTTCTCCCTCAGAGCAGCTGCGGGTTTCAAACTGCAGACCTTGCATATTTCGGCCCGAGGCGTAACCACTGTGACATCACGGCTTCTGCTAACTAAACCACAGCCACATGTTCGTGGCTGCTCCACAAAGCCCTCTGTTTCCATAACCACAGAGGGACACACAGACGGAAGAAAGCGAAGGCTCCATGGCTTCACTGGCAGTGCGACGCCTCAGCACCAGGAGAGCCCGCCCAGGATTTGATGTTGCCATCGCGCCTGCGCACAACCCAAATGGGTGCTTTTCACCCCTGGGTAACCACCGTAGCCAAACTTTTTTTTTTTTTTTTAAACATTTTATTAGGGGCTCATACAACTGTTATCCCAATCCATACACACATCAGTTGTGTAAAGCGCATTTGTACATCGTTTCTCAAAACATTTTCTCTCCACTTAAACCCCCGACATTAGGTCCTCATTTTTCCCCTCCCTCCCCGCTCCCCACTCCAGCATGAGCCCTTGATAGTTTATAAATGGGCATTTTGTCATATCTTGCCCTGTCCGACTTCTCCCTTCACCCACTTTTCGGTTGTCTGTCCCCCAGGGAGGAGGTCACACACAGTTCCATGTAATCGGTTCCCTCTTTCCTACCCATTCTCCCTTTACCCTCCCTGTTTTGCCACTACACCACTGGTCCTGTAGGGCTCATCCGCCCTGGATTCCCTGTATTTTCAGTTCCTATCTGTACCAGTGTACCTCCTCTGGTCTAGCCAGTCTTGCAAGATAGAATTCGAGTCATGGTAGTGGGAGCGGGGAGGAAACATTTAGGAACTAGAGGAAAGTTGTATTTCTCATCATTGTTACATCACACCCTGACTGGCTCATCTCCTCCCCGAGACCCCTCTGCAAGGGGATCTCCAGTCGTAGCCAAATTTGTGATAGCTGATGAAACGCGTCTGACCGTATGCAGTCCCAGAAGAAAAGTAATAAGTGTCATTTGACTGACAGCGTCCACAAGTCCCGGGAAGATTTCAGAACAGAGAAGCCCATCGGTACTGAGGTCCATACCGGGGCAACACGGGTCAGGACGACGGGCCGCCCCGGGCTCACACTCCCCGGGAAAGCCTGCACCAATGTGTCAGGACAGCCACAGAGCACGCTGCCCATCCTGAAGAGTCTCCAGGGGTGGGCGGAGGCGTGGAAGGAGCTCATCAGTCTTCGGTGACCGGCCGGATGTTGCCACTGGAGGCCTCCGGGAAGAGCACAAAGGAGGGATGTGAGTTGCAGTGTGACAGCGCACACCTTCGTTCTCCGGATGACAAGGAGGCCAGAATCCCGCTGTTACTCGAAGAGACAAAGCGGGGGTGATCGCACAGAGGAGACTTCAGGTGTCAGTATCCGTCTGTCACCCAAAGACTCAGGAAAACCATGTTTGAAATAAAAATGTTAACCAGTCTCCGGTGGTTTCTGGAGGGGG